AAAAAAAAAAAAAAAAAAAAAAAAGGAAAACATACTTCGGGGACTAAAATCCAGTTAACTAATAAAGGAACATCATACAGATAAAAATAGTAGAAAAAATTATTGTATATTCACCTAAAAATACATACTAAGCGCATGTCAGGGACGCAAAGAACACGGAATTCCATCAAAACTAACAGAAAAAATCGTGAAAACAAATAAAAATTTAAAGAAATCACATTAAAACTAACCGAAATACCACAATATTAGAGCAAAACTCACACAACGATTATATTCCGTCACTTAAGACTCGCCACTATTCCAACTCCCGAAGCGGAAAAATATTTATATTTATATTAACAACATATGATAGAAATAATAGAAAAAAAAAAACAATCAACAGCAGATGATCAACTCTACACCAGATAATGAATTATATTTCTTGAAATAATAAATTTAATTAAAAAAAAAAGTAAAAACTGAACCTTGAAGTCTCGATCATCTTAGTGATCAGTCTTCGTCGTCTAAAAGGGAGAAGATGAGAGAGTAGGAAGTAGTGGAAAGTGGCAGAAGAACAAGTACTAGAACTAGAAAAAGTAGAGAAGCGTACAACCGAACCAGAGTCCGAACCAACGGATTGGAAACACGTGTGAGGAAACTAGGTTTGGTTCAGTGCTTTGGAGGGATGAGATAAGAGAGGGCGCGGGCTTTCTTTTTCAGCTAGCTTTATCCGTTTTGGGGGTTGAGTTTGATTGGGTCCCTCATATTGGAAGATAGTGTACGCAATGTGTTCAAATTACTACCAAGCGCACAAGGTTTCTTAAATGCCTTTCTTAATCTGCGGGGTCCTAAGGCCGGACTTGCTATTAAATCTTCTCTAATTTAAGCATAATCATGTTTATGAGCAATCAATCTGCTTAGAATTTGAAAAAATAATCTGCTAAGAATCATCCACCAAGTTAAATATGAGTTTAATTTATATACTCGAATATATTAATTTAAATAATGGAGGTGGAGCTTGGTGGTCCCGTTGTAAAAGAACAAGGGTGATATCCAAAATTGTAACAACTACGAGGGTATCAAGCTATTGAGTCACACTATGAAAGTGTGAGAGAGGATGATGGAGAGAAGGGTGGAGAGTAGTGTGTCTATTTCGGAGAATCAGTTCGGTTTCATGCCGGGGTGTTCGATCACAGAAGCCATTCATCTTATGAGGAGGTTGATGTAGCAGTATCGGGAGAGGAAGAGAGACTTGCATATGGTGTTCATTGATTTAGAAAAAGCTTACGATAAAATCCCAAGGAGGTTATATGGAGATGTCTGGAGGTTAGTGGCGCTCCGGTAGAGTATATTAGGGTGATTGCGGATATGTACGATGGAGCGAAGACTCGGGTGAGGACTGTGGGAGGAGACTCGGACTATTTTCATGTGATGATGGGGTTACATCAGGGTTCAGCTCTTGGCTCATTTTTATTTGCCCTGGCGATGGACGTGCTGACGCGCCACATTCAAGGAGATGTGTCATGGTGTATGTTATTTGCATATGACATAGTGTTAATCGATGAGACGCGTTGCGGGGTTAACGATCGGCTGGAGCTGTGGAGGCAGACCCTGGAGTCTAAAGGTTTCAAGTTGAGTATGACAAAAACTGAATACTTGGAGTGCAAGTTCAGTGGAGGTGAAACTTGATACACAGTCATCTTCAAGAGAGCTAGTTTCAAATAACTTGGGTGTATTATTCATGGGAACGGGGAGATTGACGAGGATGTTATGCATCGTGTTGGAGCGGGGGTGGATGAAATAGAGGCTTGCATCTGGTATTTTGTGTAATAGAAATGTGCCACCAAGACTTAGGGGCAAATACTACAAAGTGGTAGTTAGGCCGACCATATTGTATGGAGCCGAGTGTTGGCCAGACAAGAAATCTCATGCCCAGAAGATGAAAGTAGCAGAGATGAGGATGTTGAGATGGATGTGTGGGCATACAAGGAAAGACCATATTAGGAATCATGAAGTTATTACGGACAAGGTGGGTGTGGCCCCTATGGAATACAAGTTGCGGGAATCGAGACTGAGATGGATCGGGCATGTGAAGAGGAGAGACACCGATACCCCGGTAAGGAGATGCAAGAGGTTGACCATGACGGGTCAGAGAGGTAGAGGGAGGCCTATAAAGTATTGGGGATAGATGATTAGGCAGGACATGACACTATTTTAGCTTACCGAGCACATGACCCTCGATAGAAAGGTATGGAGGTCGAGGATTAGGGTTGTGAGTTGACAGGTAGTCGAGAGTCTCTTATAGTCGTGCTAGTAGTATTAGTACTAGTTTTGTATTCTCCTATTCCGAGTTCCTTGTTGTTAGACGATGTGGCATTATTGTTGGTAGTTTTCGCACTTCTCTTATAGCTTCGTATTCCTAGTTTCTTTGCTATTACATGTTGTGCTATTTGTTTGTGTTATTTTATTTCCTTGCCATTGTTACTATTTGTTATATTGTGTCCTTTTCACTGTTCTTGAGTCGATGGTTTATCGGGAACAGGGTAAGGTTTGCGTACACATTACCCTTCTCAGACCCTATGTGTGGGATTGCACTGATTTTATTGTTGTTGAATGTATTAATCCATCTTATTTTCAAATTTTTAAACTTCACATATTATAAAGAGTTACATATAAATAATTTTGGCTAATTTGATTGTATAACAAAAATTACACTAGAAATATATATAAAGTAAATTCTTTATTAGTTTGAAGTGTTACCCGATCTTTACCCCAATAGTTGGCTTAGTAATTAATAAACTTCCTAAGCAGCGTTTGGAGATAAATTTGGTTGATATTTAAAAGGAGAATTTTTTAAACTGTGTTAAAAGCTGAAGTTGTATTTAGACATGTGTTTTATTTTTATTTTTTTAAATGAAGTTTTGTGTATGGAAGAAAAAATTTCACCAAAAAGCTCTAAACCACTTTTTGAAAACTTAAAAAAAGAAATTTAAAAAAAAATCAAAAACCAATCAAATTCCATAATTTTTTTTTAAAATAGCAAAAAATCTATAGCCAAACGGAAGTAGTCATGTCATGCGTTTAATCCTAACTACGACCGTCCTTGAATGACTTTGGCATTTGCCTTACCATTATCAGAAAAGTTTCAATTAATTTTTTAATTTTATTTTATGTAAAAATTATTTTTCAACCAAACACTAAGTAAGAAATTTTTTAAAAACTAAATAACTTTACATTCTTAGTGGGAGTTTGGACATAAGAATTGTAAAATTTCAAAATAGGGGGAAAAATATTTTCAAGTGAAAATGGTATTTGAAATTTAGAGTTGTGTTTGGACATGAATATAATTTTGGGTTGTTTTTGAAGTTTTGTGAGTGATTTGAGTGAAAATTTTGAAAAATAACTTTTTGGAGTTTTTCAAATTTTCAAAAATTTCCAAAATGTATCTTCAAGTGAAAATTGGAAATTTTATGAAAAAAATGCTAATTTCGAAAAAAAGTGATTTTTTTTTTTTGGAAAAAATATTCTTATGTCCAAACGGCCTCTTAATATCTCGTTGAAACAATTTTGCAAAAAAATATATTAAAGCGAGTTTTAAAATTTTTTGAAACAAAAGTCACCATGTTGATGATTGGTTGACATCTACAAAATTGAAATTAGCCGTTGCACTAAGAGCCCGTTTAGACATAAGAAATTTTTTTCTTTTTTTCAAAAAAATTACTTTTTTCTAAAATTAGCGTTTGTTCATAAAATTTTCAATTTTCACTTGAAGATGCATTTTGAAAATTTTCGAAAATTTGAAAAGCTCTAAAAAGCTATTTTTCAAAATTTTCACTCAAATCACTCACAAAACTTCAAAAACAACCCAAAATTATATTCATGTCCAAACACAACTCTAAATTTCAAATACCATTTTTACTTGAAAAATATTTTTCCCCTATTTTGGAATTTTACAATTCTTATATCCAAACGCCCACTAAGGGCCCATTTGGACATACAATTTGTTTGAAGATTTTTCCAAAAAAAATTCGCTTTTTTCCGAAATAAGCGTTTGTTCATAAAATTTCCAATTTTTACTTGAAGATGCATTTTGAAAATTTTTGAAAATTTGAAAAACTGCAAAAAGCTGTTTTTCAAAATTTTCACTCAAATCACTCACAAAACTTCAAAAACAACTCAAACTGAAATTTATGTCCAAACACAACTCTAAATTTCAAATATAATTTTCACTTGAAAAATAATTTCACTATTTTTTCGAATTTTACAATTCTTATGTCCAAATGCCTATTAAATATCGTTCCATATTAGATGTGCACAATTAGGGGTAAATTTCATATAACTATGAGTTTTTTTCACCAAAGTTATAGAACTTTATTTTCTTATACAAAAATCATATAACTATGACTTTTTTCACCGTAGTCATATAACTTTGTTTTCTCACACAAAAATCATAGTAGTCGAAAAATAAATTTTCGGTAGTATTTTCTTATTTTACGTTTTTTGATTTTTTATTTTCAGTCTAATAAATAATTACCCGATTAAAATAGAAGAAATATGAGTATATTTTTAGCCGCTCCTAAAAATAATAGCCAATAAAATATGAGTATATATATATATGTGTGTGCGTGTGCGTGTGCGCGCGCGCGTGCGCGCGCGTGTGTATATTATACACATATAACATACACAATCTATATATATTTTGGCTAGCAAATGCAATTAGTTTTGATCGGCCGGTTAATTTTATATTTTTTTTTTAAAATAGGAATGACCCAACCCAGTCTGACCCAATACCCATATATAATATTTAAAATTATACTAAAAGTGAATTCTTCCCCCGTAAAAAAATTAGTTCGAAATGCATGAGATTCTGACAAAAAATAAAGAAATAAAAGGTATAATTAGAGAGCACTTGAAATAAAAATACTATTAATTTGAATAAAATCTTGAAAAAAAAATAAAAGATAGAAGTATCATGTTTTGAAGAATTTACTATTCACTTTTATAATTATTTTAATTTATATATATGAGTACTTGACAGAGAAAAATATATAACCCTGACTGGGGAATGAAGTTTTTTGGTATGATATATAACCTTAACGTTCTTTTTTTTTTTTTTACTTTTTCTAAAAAAAGCTCTTATAAATTATTCAAAATCATATTGAATAGTTTATCATTGTAAGCAAGGTAA